TGAATGAATGAAGAATGGGAGACAGGGTAACCCTGAGACAGTGTCGGGTAAACTGGTCATGCTTTATTACTTATGCGGGCTATAGGAATAAAAGGGGTTCATCAGCCCATGATTCATCACTGATCTCAGCTTTCAGGAGCTCTGTTCTTTAAACCTTGAGTGATTTCACTCTGAATCACTCTTTCACTTCTCACAATTCTATTCTGGGCTACAGGGGTTTGAAAGTTGGTACCTACAAAAATATTATGCTGTAAACCAGCTCAAAGAAGCCATTGATAATATGTGGTATCAGCCAGAGGCTTCCTGCCAAACAAATGTAACCACTATATTGAGGTATTGCAATCTCCCAAGTATAAAATAAGACCACATTAATTTTTAATGTCCACATTTGAATGGCTGGAACCACTGGGCTTATTGCTAGATCTTCAGATCTTGTAGTGGACATAGAGACAGTGAGTCCCTAGGTTCCCCTTCAGGGAAGGACTTGCTAGGCTGCTGGGCGTGCTGTCAGCACAGAACCTTCAGCTGTCAGCCCCTTCAGGGTCAGCCTCCACTACAGAGAGCCACCTTGCCTAAGGTCACACTCTCCCTGGGGCAGTTTGTAGCCAAGGAGGCAGGAGTATAAAGTCCCAGCCATTTCAGCTCAATGCAGGACAACTCTAATGCTTTTGGGTCCACAGCTGCCTATAAGGTTGGTTAAGGCTACTGGGCTGACGTCTCAATTCATCTTTCTCAGTCCAATCCAGCTTCGTTCTCCTCTTTCCACACGTGCGGATCCCAGGGGTACTTCCTAATAAATATCCTACATTCCATTTCAGAGTCTGCTTGCCAGAGGACCCAACGTGCAACAACTCATCCCACCCCCTGACACCTAGCATTGACAGGTAAAATACAGAATGCCTGGTCGGATGTGGATTTCAAATAAACAATGCATAACTTTTTAGTGTAAGTATGTCCCAAACATTGTTATAGCTTTATTCCCTATGCTTTGTATGGTGGTTGGCCTAAGTAAATGCTTGTTGGATAAATGAGAATGTTAGGATCCCATCTTTTTACTTTTTTTTATTTCTGAGCTGTTTAGTCCCCACCCCCTTTTTAATTAGTTTCAGGTGTACAGAACAACATAGTGATTAGACATTATATAACTCACAAAGTGATAACCCCAATAAGTCTATTACCCATCTGACACTGTACATAGTTAAAATATTATTGACTATTCCCTATACTATCTATGCTAGGATTCCATTTTAAAATAGAGTACCCCGTTACATGAGGAAGAAGGCAGATGTGAGCAATGGTCCCTTACTTTCCATCATGCAAGTGTTCCTCAAAATATTCACAGATAAGCAATATCTCAATTGTCTGAGGGGGCTTATTATAAATGCAGATTCATGGGCCTCACCAGATTTACCAAACAAGAACCTCTGGAGCTGGTCCCTAGAAATCTACATTTATAACAAGCTACCTGAGTGATTCTTCTGCTTCCTAAAGTGTTGAGAACCTTCTACACTAAGAATGGTGGCCTTGGGGCCAGCCGAGTGGCTCAGTTGGTTAAGAGCTCGCTCAAGAGTGCCAGCTCTGAGCAACAGTGGTTTGATGCCCGGGCCCAAGCTGAGCTGCCGCTGATCTGCCAACAGGTGGCAGGATGGCTCAGCTAAAAAAAAAAAGAATGGTGGCCTTGAACCAGAAAGAACAGTTTCATCCAAGTTGAGAAGGTCTCTCTGTAGTCACCAAAGAACTGTAGTGAGCAGGGAACCAACCCTGTCTTTTTCCTGCTCGCCCACTCGCTTTCCCTTTCCTCCTGAGCCTCCCTTGGATGGAAAGTAAGTTCTTGGACCAGGCTGATCACCATAATCTCTGGGAGAAGAGTTATAAGAATACAAACCTACTAAATCAGAGACTTGAGAGTAATATGCTGATCACAGCAGGGGCTCAAAGAAACCAGAGTCACTGAGAAAGGCATTAGGGAAGAGATGGCCTTAAACGATGGGCAATGTTTGCACGAGCAGGTTGGAAAGGTTTGAGCCTTCTAGAATACTAGAATCTACTGCTTAGAAGCAGGAGAACCATGGCATGAGAAGACACTTGCTGTTAGAAGGCTCCTGAAACTCTGACAGTGCTGTTCCTGGATCTGGTGGAAGGTTTAGGAACACTTCTCCCAGCTCTAACACTCATTTCAATTTTCTGCTGCCAGGAGTTCCTCTGGATATAAGCAGAGGAGCCTTTCTACAGGGTTTAATCAGATCTCAAATGTATCAGCTCAATGTACTAAATGATCATCTGTCAGGAGTTCACAGATGGGTACCCCGATTGGCTGGACAAGATCCCATTTCTGTTTTATACCTTTGGTAAAGTCCTCCTCTGCAACACCATTGTCTTCCTCGCAGGATGAAGGTGCATGGAATGGGGGAGGGCCTTTCCCTAGATGCCAAACAATGCTATACATTCATCTCCCCCATGATTGATCATTTAAGGAACAATAGGATTTGTGGGTAAGAGAAATCTAGATATTTGGGGTTTGCGAAAGGTGATATGGGGTTTATGAAGAATGTGTCACCTCCAAAAAGTGGGAGGTTAGGGCTGTCACTCCTGGCACACACCACAACTAGAACAGCAGGTACATGTGGGGAAGAGTATAAAATAAGATTAAATAATTGGTTGCAATTTGCCAGCACAGAATGCTGGGAGCCATGGTTCATCTTCTCAGCCCACCTTTCTAGACTAATATTATTCTTGTCATTCAGGTCTCAGCTCACATGTCACCTCCTTAGAGAGGCCATCACTAAGCACCCATTCTAAAATCACTCTGTCCCCACCCTGTTACTCTCCATCACATTACAGCAATTTATTTATTTAGTTTAGCATACCAGTTATATATTTAAAATTATGTTATTCGAACAGCTCGACCTGGAGCTGGGCTGCCATGAGTTGCCGGCGATGGCGTAGGCTGCAGTGGGGCTGGCCAGCAACGGGCATGAGCTTCCGTGAGCTGCCATGAGCAACCGTCCAATGGCTGGCGAACAACTGCCTCACCTGGGAAGAGCGCAATGATAATACCAACATGGGCCAGTGAAGCAACGCTCTCCACAACTAGACTGAAGAAAAAAAGGACAGCAACTTCTCTGTCCCCCTTCCCTGATTCCCCAACGCTGTTCCCCTCCCCCAATTCCCCAATAAAATCTTTAAAAAAAAAAAAAAAGGGAAAGAAATTCCTAGCTGGGCAGGTCATGGTGGATAGTCACACCGCAGGCCTGTAACTTCCCTAGTGAAAGTTTATCTTTGCCTTAATTAAGTCCTGTTCATTGTTTTTGTGCATCTAGCTTAACACATTTTTGCAGTGCCTCTTTTTCAGACTGTTATGAAATGTAACCACACTCAAGAGAGCACATAATCTTAACTATCCTATAATCCAATTACAGAGATTTCCCTGCCTTGCTTTCTCCCACCTTCATATAATAATCTTCCTTGCATTCCCTCTTTAATTCCAGATGTATAAAAGAAACGGCAAAACTGTCATTCTCCTGAGTTTTTGAGATCTTGCTTCCCAGCAATGTCATCAGTTTGGCTCAAATAAACTCATAAAAATGTTAAATAAATAAATAAATAAATAAATAAATAAATAAATAAATAAATGAAAATTATGTTGTTTGTTTATGTATTTACCTGTTTGTTATCTTTGGCCTCACTAGAATGTAAATTCAATGAGAATTGGGTCTATATCAGTTTTTGTCCATAGCTGTAATCCCTCAGCTAGCATTATGCCTGGGATTTAGTAAGTACTCCATAAACTAGTTGCTGAATAAATGAGTGAGCTTATATTCCTTTTTCATTAAACATCATGAACATTTGTTAATCTATACCAGAAATATAAGCAAGTATGCTATGATGATAGAAGCATCAATGCTACAGGGGTTCATAGCTTGCTCCAGTCCCCAAAATCCACGTGGATCATTTTATAAATCCTGAACTACATTTGAAAAGCCGGTGACAAGTTCAATGGAGAAAAAGAAAAAAGCTGAGAATTTGCAGAGTTTTTATCAAGTTGTATCACAGGGTTTTCTGATTTGACATTTAGGAGAAAATCAACAAGTCAGTCTATATCCAGCATAAATCCAGGAGGTGACAGGTAATAAGTATTCATGAACTTTATGTTTTAAAGCCTTTATTGTGAAAGAAATCTTTAGACAGACATATGTATCTCAGAAAAAAAAAATTAACTAAGCTTTCCTAATGAATAAAAATGTTTTAAAAATTAAATAAAACTTGCCACATTCTGCTTGTCTAATGAAGTATTTTGTTAAAATTTAGGTGGGGAAAAAAATCAAATTCAAATTATTCACTAAAAACTCAGTTTAGTCAAGGATAAAGGAAGTGAAAAAAAGTGTTTTTAAAGCTCCCACATGTCAATGAAGTCTACACACAATATATAAGATTATAATATTCAAAATTTTAGTTATTTGCATCTCTATATTTAATTCCTCTATGTTTTGAATGTCACAAAAGTTCATTTATCCAGATCCGCAAAGAGTAAAATTTGTCTAAAAATAGGCAAATAGGACCTGTAAATCCTTTACCCTTTTGAAGTCTATGTATCTATAATTATGCCCTGCCTTTTAAAAGGAGGCAGTTAAATTATCTGTCTTTTACAGAAATGTTCAGGAATTTGGTTAAGGCTGTCAAATTTCTAAGATAGTTAACTAGCTTAAAGTAGGTTACTTGGGTTTCTATCATTGATGTTGACTCTTTTGCCTTCATTCATTCATTTTTCATTCATTTCCTTCTAATATTATTTGAGTTATGGGTTTATGTCCATCACTAGATAATGTACCTTGGTTTCAGAGCTTCTGTGTTCCCAGCAGAATTGAGCACTGTTCATTGATTCAACAAATATTTTTAAGTCCCTATGATAATCTATTGGGTTGTCAGAAAAGTCATGACGCATTTTTGCAATGAAAAATATAGAAAAAATACGTCATGACTTTTCTGAAAACCCAATAGATACTGTAGAAATAGCAGTAAAGACACCTGTCTTCTTGGAGCTTGCATTTTAGTGATGAAGACAGACAATGACTAAGATAAATAAGTAAAATATAGACTCTGCTAGATCATGATGAGTGCTAAGGAAAAAGCTAACCAGAAAAGGGTGCATAGGAAATCTGTGTATGGCGGAGGGAAATTTTAGATGGCACGGCCAGAAAAGGCCTCAAGGAAAGATGTCATTTGGGTTAAGATGGGAAGGAAGTGGGCCACGCCAGGCAGGTAGGAAACACTCATATGTATTGACTAACTGAACAACGGCCAACTGGTTTCTCAGTTCTCACAGTGTTTGGGGTGTCGCCTCCATTTGGGGGCTGATGTGTTTATAGTGTAGATGCCTTGTCCATCCTCGTAACTCTTGAATTATGTCCTTGTGAGGACCCAGCAGGACCAGGAACCAGGGTAGGTTCCAGGAACTAAATTCAAACCTGTTTGAGGGAGAAGCCATGCTCCGGCCAGGCGGAATCTCCAGATGCAAAAACAGGATGCGGTCAGGGCCAACAATAACTCCTTGTTTTTGGCAATAACGGCTTCTTCAGGTGTTGGCAATAGCGGCTTCTTCAGGTGTTGGCAATAGCGGCTTCTTCAGGTGTTGGCAATAGCGGCTTTTTCAGGTGTTGGCAATAATGGCTTTTTTCTGGCTTCTGTAACCTGCTTCTGCTTAAGCTCCTGGAAATAGATGAAGCATATAAAAACTCCAACCAGCCAAGGCCCAGGGCCATTCTCCTCTTGCAGTGAGACAGACACCAGGCCTGGCTCAATAAAGCCTTCTGAACAAAACCTCTGTCTCTCAGGTCTTTCTTAACGAACGAGGACCCAACATCCTTATTCACAGCCTATAGTCACCCCCAAATGCATCTGATGCGTATATCTACATCCTCCAGAATAAATGACTCTGTGTTACCAGACATTGACTGGAGAGCCAGCTGGCTGGATAGGTAGGGTGTGGGGATTCAGAAGGGGCTGCCCCAAGATGCGCCTCAGTGGTATGCAGAGTACTTTGAGCTAAAGGCAATTTTAGCTTCAGCTCAAGAGAAACTTCTGCCCCACCCCTGTTAACTACCTAGAAGAATTTTAATTAGAGGACTTGCCCATGAGAGACTATACCTATCTATTGGGCAGGGCAAACTTCTATTTACTAAAGGTTTGCTCTTCTTATCATCCTGCAATGACCTTTTGAAGATTCCAAAGGGGAATTTCTCCCCTTTCCCACAAGGGGTTAAGGCAGTAATAGTTTGCATTGGTCAAAGGTAAGCAAACAACCTGCATTTGTTGGAATAGTGAGATAGGAAAATTATCGGCAGTCAGGGAAATTGCCATGGTAGAGGAAATCAGGGTGGAAACCATAACAGCCAGGGTAATAATTTTATTAGCTGACTGATAGGTTTAAGTCACAGGACCCGCCAGAGTGACAAACTCAGGTGGGGGAGGAGGACAAGCTTTTTTTCAAGTCTATAATAAAAAGTCAGGGATCCCCAGGTAGAATGCATATTTTCAAAGAGGTTAGTTAGCATTCTTCAAAGCATAGGCCTGGCCCCAAAAGGCGCCAGCCAGCCCTTCTCCCCAGGCGTACAAAAAAGATTTAAAAACAGAAACTTTTGCCTCAGCTGGGGGCACCGCAGTTAGGACCCCCGGCTCGTTTTGAGAGTTGTTACTTTCTGCTCTAATAAACTGTCCTCTGCTGCAAGCTTTACCTCTCTGGTCCGTGTCTCCATTCTTTGGTGCTGCGAGATCATGATCCCGGAACATAATCACGCTCCAAAAAAAAAAAAAAAATCCTGCTTCCATAGTTCCATGCAAAAGTAAAGAAGATAAGAGGAAAGAAAGAATTCCAAAAAGAAAGCAAAAGACAGTGGTCTTGCTTTGGGGAGTTAAAGTCTGACACACAGAAATAGCAGTAAAACTCTGCATTGTAAACCAGTTTCCTATCTCTGGCATGTACATCAGTGGACTTTTTCTCCAGCTTTACGTATTATGGGTCATACCCAAATGGCATGTTATTCTTGGGACTGCCACAAGAAACTTAATGTTCTTTTGGTTTTCTGTGCATTTGCACATGCTGTGTATTCCTGACCTTGAGCCTCTTTCTGACCTTTAGCCTCCTGATCATTCTTCCAAAACTCAACTCAGAATTTCACCTTCTCTGTGAAACCCATTGAACTGTAACACTTAAGATTGGTGCGTATCATGGTAGGTAAATTACGCCTCAAAAAGTAAAAGCAAAAGAAAAAAAATTTCACTTCCTCTGAGAAGCCTTCCTAGAACAGCCTCCCACCCCTGTCCCCCACCTCAGCAGGGTTGGCCAGTAAGCCTGGCACTCCAGAGTCTGGGGGTGAGCTTCCTAGGGAGCCAAGGGGCCAAAGAAGGAGATGTTAGTGCATCAAAGGTTGACAGACAGACTAAAAAAATACAACAGAATGGATTGGTGTTATGATTGGACAAGCCTAAGGTGCTATAGGAGCCCAAAGAAAAGGTCCCCAGCTATCACTGGGAGATGTCAGTGAAGGCTTTCCAGAAGTAGAACCAAGTAGGCTTGGTAGTTAAACCAAGTCCTATAATTCTGGCCTCTCATATTTTTTCCTCCCAATCTCATCATCACGCTGTTTTCTTTCCGATCCCAACATCTCTGACTGAAGCCCTGGATGGACATAAGAACTTTGGCACCCTTATCCCTGGTTGGTGTCCTGGATCCTCCACGACTCTAAAAATACCCAAGCCTATTCCTCCAAGAGTAGGCAAATATGAACAGCAATGGTGATAATAATATGATGACAACAAATGTTCTAGTCCTCGTTTCATTAATTCAGAGTAAAAGCAAAAGCCCTTTTAAAGGCCTCTACGACCCTACGCCATGTAGCCCCCATCATTTCTCTGACCTCTCCCATTACCCACTTCCTTACTTGGCACCCCCAGGCCTTTTGGCTGTTCCTTGAACACACAGGCACACTAACACCTCAGGGCCTTTGCACTGGCTCCTCCCTCTGTCCAAAGCACTCTTCCCCAGGTACCTGTAAGGCTCACTCTCACTGTCAAGTCTTTGCACTCACCACCCTGTTTACAATGCAGACCCTGCCCCTAGCACTTCCACGTCCCCTTACCTTGCTCTATTTTTTCCTAAAGCACATATCATGCTCTATCATTATTCATAATTTGCTTGTTTATTATGCCTTTACTAGATTGCAAGCTTCAGAAAAGGAAGAATATTTACCTTTTTTTATTCACCGAACAGTCGGTATCAGTGGCTAGCACATTGTGGGACCTCAATAAATACTTATTAATGAGAATATATTGGCATTAGCCACCTTAGGGAAAGTATATCTGAGGCCCCACAAGTTAGAAAGCATGGAACTACTTCTCTTTCTTTTAATTATTAAGCTGCACAAATGCAAAAAAACCTCATTTTTATTTTACCCTTCAGTCAACAAAGCAAAATGTTCCTTGAACTTGCTTAATGAGTCCATGAGAATGACGGCTAATTGATGTGAAGCAGCCTAGCTGCCCATGCCAGTTTGCTGCTAGGATCACCTGAGCAGCTTCTCTGAAGTGGAACAGGGCTCTCTCTTGCCCTCTGCATATCTGCCCACCTGCTTGCGGCAAGCCCAGAGGGTGTCTAAGGTGGAAGGGAAGTTGAGACAGCTTCTGCCCCAGGCCCTTTGCCAGTTCCTAGTTGTTCTCCTTGCCTATAGAGGGCCTGGGGCTTCGTTGCCGTTCTCCCAGCCTGAGACCCTCTTCCTGGACCCTGGTTTGTTGGATTCCTCAAAGACTGATCCTAGAGCTATCTAATTAGAACCCAACTCTGTGATTCCATCCAGGCTCACAGAATAACTGGGCCTGAACCGTATACTGTCTGGGGTCTTCCATGGCCTGCCTTTTCCTGGCTGAATGGCACTCTTTTTTTTTTTTTTTTTTTTACAGAAACTGATGTTCTGGCCACAAATCCAGACAGACTGCACCAGTTGGACTGGGTCTGAACCCAGCCGGGCCACTTCCTGGCTGATTGACTGGATAATTTCTCAACCTTTTGACAATATTGAATTTTACTTAAACCCTGAGAAAACAAAGGACAACCCCGTCCATGCAGATTCCATGATATGATTTGTCTCTACCTGCCCCAGGACTCACTCCCTTACTTACCTGATTCTATAAAACCCCAGGCTCCCTTCCCTTTCTTTGAGAGGGTCCTCACTAACGAGGCTTCTCCTTACTGCAACAGCCTGAATAAAACCAGCTCCTAATTGCCCAGTGCATTTTGTCTTTAACACTTTTAAGCCTCAATTTCCCCATCTATAAAAGGAGATCATCCTAACAACTTCCTAGGGCTGGTTGTGAGGGTTCAATGAAATAACGTGCGTAAAGCAGAGTAAGCGCTCAATAAATATTTTGATGGCATTATTATTCCTGTTATTAATTCCCTCCAGCCCGGTTCTACCAGGACTTGCGCCTTAGGGTTTCCTGTGCTGATTAATGTCTGATGGGTGTTCTCAGCAACTTACAACTTGCTATTGCTCCACACTTTGTTCTTGACAGAAGCTTTTGCAGAGGTTTGGTCATATCTAGCCCTACTCAGCCGCTATCAACCACTGAATACAGCACAAGAGCATATCCCAAATGCTGTCTGAAAACAGTGTCTCAACACTCACTGTCCATTCAGAAAGAGAGTTCTGAACTACTTCCCCAACCTGCCCCCACATTTGATCTCCAAGATCTAGCTTTGCTTCTCCCTTCACCTTTGATCCTTGGTGTTTTTTCTTGCAACGGGGGTTGCTTCTCGCCTATTCAGCTACTGTCTCTGGATCCTAATAGTGGTAGGTGTGGGGTGACCAGCTCAGGGAGGGCTAGAGCTAACCACTCCCTAACTGTGCTCTGCAGGACCTTTCCAGTGGTGAGAATTGGAATCTCTTGGGACCTTTGTAACACTCCTCATATCCAAACCAACTAAACCAGGGCCTCCGGGTGTGGGATCAGTACACTGGTGTTTTGGGTTTTTGGTGTGTTTTTTTGTACACTGGTGTTTTAAAAAAGGTTCCTAGATGTATCCATGTGCAGCCAAGCCAAGGTTAAGAAATGTCTTACGATGTAAGAAATGTCCAAACCTGTAGAGAAATTTTATAAGAGTTTAATTGAGTCAAACTGACAACATGCCCTATGAAGCAAGATCTCAAATGCTCTGGAGAATGACAGGTTTGCAGTTTCTTTTATACACTTGGAATTAAGGAGGATGGTAAGATGGGGGGTTGTAATAGTGGCACTGTATGTTCTATTTTGAGATTTGGACCTCTGGTATAATTCAGTTTAACAAGTATAATTTAGCTTGGGACTTTTTGAAAGCTTTCCTTTTTTTCTCTTTACTTTGTCTCCTTCTCCTCTTGCCAAACCTTCTTCACTCCGTTTACTATACATTTACTAGGCAGTTTCAATGGTTCTGTTTACTTGGCCAAGTGCTGGCCGGGTGACCTGGGAGAGGTTTTGCATTTGTATGGGATCCATTCCTGGCTCCAATTAAAATTTACATAACATATGCAAAGCTTTCGGTTCCTGGTTTAACCACACCTTTCCCCACCCCTGCTGACAAAGCCGAACACAAGGGGAGATTCTATTATAGTTCTAAGCAATTTACATCCATTTACATCCTGGTTAGAAAATATAAAACCTAAGATGAAACAAAGACT